GTGATTAAAAAGCGCAAGAAGCGCAAAATGAAAAAAAAAATTAATGTAAACAAACACTTCGTTCGAGGTAAAGCTTGTCTTGTTTGTGTGTGTGTGTGTTTTTTTTTTTGTTCTAGGATGACCCTCGTTCAGTGATTTTCCTAAACATTCCTTGGCGTGCAAATTTGCTGACTTTTCAGCATTTTTCGTTAGCTTCCCGTGTGTTTCACACCGCGATAAGCGCACACTGACACTTGAATTGTTACGTTTACTCAAAACCTTACTCATTATGACAACTGGCGAATATTTTTGTTCTTCAATGTAGCAAATGGTGCAAACTAACAACAATCCTTTAAATTATTTACACAACCAAATCTTACTCTGGGGGTGGGAGAAACTGTTTCAGGTTTTTTTTTATGGGCATTTGTTGCCGCGATAGTTGTCGCACCATTGGTTTGATCATCCAGCAACACTGGCTTCAGTCCTAATTGGGCCCGAAGTTTACTGAAAAAAAAAATCAAATACAATTCAGTGAAATAAAGATAGGATTCTTACCCGAGCCTCCCAGATAAGGAAGTTATTCGAATGGAGCGCGGCAAAGTAAAGATAGTTCTTTGTTTCCGAAAAGGAAACTCATGAATAAAGTAATATTTAGACATGTGGCTGATATGCAAGCAGAGAAAAAAAATCCTGATACGAGAGCTGCAGTTTAACAAATTTCTGAAAAGAACCCTGATAAAAATTGAGATTACAGTGAGTATTTTCTAGAATTTTTTTTCAGGCTTCTTCTTTGCAATTTCTAGAATTGTACCTCACATGTCACATTCACTGTTTCATGAGGGCTCAAGTCAGACTGGAAATAAATCAACCATGTTTGAGAACTTTGATTCAAACTGGGTTAGAACTAATCAACATTTCAGCCTTATGCAGCATGACCGCTGAAACTTTTCATTTTTCAAGTTACTTTTCATGAGCCTGCTGTCACCTTACGGCCCGAGCTTCTGTAGCATACAGCAACTAGGAGCCGAGTAGAAGCTTTGCTACTCCGACTAGACAAGATGCTGGTCTATCACATATTACCCTCAAGCAATAATAATTTATTGACCTCTAAGGTGCAAATTCGAGGTATATAAATTCAAATGCACCAACCCCCAATTCCCAGTAAACAAGCCAGATCACATCACAGTTGTCTCGCGAGTGGCTTCTTTAAGGTCCCCTGCCTAACCAAATTGACTTTATAATAGATGCAGGAGACGGGAACTATGGTTTATTCGACCTTATCCGAGAAGACTAGAATTTTTATCTATTTCTTGATATTATAGAAAGGTAGCCCATTCTCCTCAGTTATTTTAAGACCTAGAGTGTTCGTGTGGCTGGGGCAGAAACACTCGACCTCCTGCACAACAGTCAGGTGCTCTAACCAATTGAGCTAACGGGGAGGCTGTTAAATCAATTCATCATAAAAATTCTTTAACAGTTTTCCTGCAGCAATTCATATTCCTGGGTGGCAAAACGCACTGTGAGAGTAAAGGGTTTTGCCAAACAACATGACACAATTACCTAGTCAGGGGCTCCAACCAGGGCCTATTAAACTGGTTTCCAGTTCTCCACTCACTCAACAAAAATTAATTATTCCTCCAAACTTAATTTCTTGCAAAACTGTCCTGGAGTTTAAAAGAACCATTTCTACAAAGTTTGTAGTCTGCCACCTTTCTACAAAGTTGCGAGTCCAAATATTTTAAGGCCTTTTTCATGAAATTCAGAAGATTGCATCCCACTTGTGTCCGAAGGACCTTGCCTGATCATGTAAGTTCATTATGCCACTTGAAAGTCATTGGCTAATTCCAAAAAGGCAAACCATATGCATTCATCTAAAGGGGGCAAGTTTCTAAAGAAATTGTGGTGCTGCATTGGTGGGGGAGTAAAAGAAGATAATTTGAGATCAAATGAGTTGAGTAAGCCCTTCCTTAGAGCCAATGACGTGAAGGCTTAGAAAAACTTTACGAGGGCCAATTTACATTAATCAACTCCCACACATTTCTACAGTTTTACATACTTGGTTTCATTTACTAAATTGCTCTGTGCTGATTCCGGATCACACTTTTCTGCAGATGAAAATAAAATAAATATACCAAAAATGAGCAAAGAACTACAACACTATGACTAAATTTTGACCCTATCAACCATGTATTTAATGCTTGTCCTAAACTGGACTTCCCATTATACAATGTTGTTTCACACCGTGGCGTGGCAGATTATGAAAATACCAACTTATTCTGAGTGCAATGCCTGCACTACAATCTACATAGAGTGCTCTATAATCTTATCCACATTTCTCTCCCAAGAGCTTTCTAGGGAAAATTCCAACCAGTCCAGATTCTAGAGAGTGAAAGATTGATTAAATCTCATCTTAATTGAAATTGGATATTTTTACTGAAGTTGCTTAGGAAACCAAACCTACCTATGGACACTGGTTGATTGACATCCTCACTCAAAGCACTAACAGTTTTGAGAGCATCCTTGAGAAAAATTTTGAGTTATTAGACATTTTACACCCTAACATAAGCATCCATATTCTACAAACGTTTCTCTATCAATTTACTCTGATACTGACAAAGAGAATTTGTTTGATGATCAAAGCTTCTTAAGTGGACAGTCATTTTCTTTATTCTCAGTATGACTGTAGGGGGAAAATAAATGCTGGTCACTTTCACATTCTAAAAGGTTAGGACTGTCATGAAATAATCTCAGTTAGACCAGTCAATAGGCAGTACTAAGCAATTCTGTAATAAAATTAATAAGTTGGGAACTTGAAACTTTCTATCGTCACTAAATGAATGAGAAAGGAAAAGTACCTTTCCAACAGTAGCAGTCAATTCTAAATCATGGACAGGAATGTCATCTGGTGTTTTGATATCTGTTCCTTCTTTTGCTGCTTCTATGACTTCTGATTCCTCAACCACTGGCAAGACATAATTTATATCAATTAATTAGACTCTATTCTACTGCTGGTCAACATTCTTTCCAGAGCTTGATAAAAATGTTATATTCTACAATTGTGAAAATCATTACACAATTGGGATTAATGGTATGGAGCACATGTGCAATAATGTTGCTTCAGTTTATACTTGTAAAGATCTTGGTTAAAAATGCGATGTGAAAAAAAAATGTTAAACAGTGACTTCTGATTTTGAGTAGTAAGTCCCTCTTTTTGCTTATAGAGAAAAGGCAGGGAAAACAAAAACAAAAAAATAATGAAAGCAAATCATGGTACCTGATATCATTTGAACAGATATGTATCTCACCTACAGTGTCCAGCTTAGTGAGTTTGGGCAAATTCTTTAGAACAGTCATTCTGTAATGATCCACATTGGCACAAGGATTGTCTGAAAGCCATAGCACTCTTAACTTTGGAAGGTTCTTCAGACACCCTATCTCATTGATATCTTCAATGTTATTCTTCCTCAGATAAAGTTCTCTTAATCTGGGACCTACACAAAACAAAATCAATAAATCAGGAGACAATTTCATAATTCATTTAACCCTTAAATGCCCAAGACTGACTGGCATCTAATTTCTCTTAATCATGTCTTCCCATAGTCATATATTGAGGTAAAGAGAATAACAGAAATGATCAACCACTAAAGAAGCCCTTGATTGTTTAAACAAATTCTCTATATCAGCACTATAGGAAATGTGGTGAAAACAGTATAGAGAATATGCACACTGATATTAGGGCAGAAAAGTAATGGGACCTAATAAATCACTTAGATTGTTGTTCAATGGTAATTTATCAATGTTAACTGCTGATGACTGAGGAGGATGGGAAGCATGGGTGGAGGGGGACACTTTTGGTCAGTGGTTCATCTTTAAAGTGTATGCCCAGTATATAGGACTATTTGGCTGCTGGATATTTGAGTCTGAGAACAGTTTTTGAAGAAGCTGTCTTTAAGCCCTGTCCATGCTGAAGGATTTTTTTTTAACAAATTTTCCTCAATCACCCCACCCTTTTTTTTTTTTTCCTTCTCATCTAATCGGCACTGGCAAGTGTCTAGAAAGGGGTCTCATGGCTGGGTATCCAACATTTGCCAACCATGGGTACAGTGCTGTATCCAACATTTGCCAACCATGGGTACAGTGCTGTATCCAACATTTGCCAACCATGGGTACAGTGCTGTATCCAACATTTGCCAACCATGGGTACAGTGCTGTATCCAACATTTGCCAACCATGGGTACAGTGCTGCATCTGGTGGCTGATAGGATACAAGGAAGCCCCTAGATACCGCAGGTACCCTCCTTCTATTTACTTGGAGCAAACATTAGTGGCACCTCCTGTCCAGGAAGACAAATATTTGTAGCAACTGTAATCTTTGCATCTGTTATTTGCATTAAAAAAAAGGAAAAAATACATCTCTTTGTTTTAAAGTACACTTAGTCCCAAGGGTCTCTCTGAAACTAAAAACTTTGGAAATTGCATGGTGGTAATTACACGTTTTCGTTGGGCAAATTTTACCAAACGTCATTATTGATCTCGGTGAATTGTTACTCAAAATTGAATAAATTCTGAATCAATGATACATACAATGTGCAAAATCTTCTAGGCTTGATATGTTGTTGACACTAAAGAAAAGAGAAAACCACAAACGAAATGTACAATCCAAATCTCAAATTCAAATCATCAAAAGTAAAACCAGGCTTAAGAAAGTAAATTCAGTAACAAAAACCTTTGATTGAAAATTTAAGATATGCATAATCATTAATGGCATCCATTTTTTCAACACAGACCTTAGACTTAGAACTTCAACATTGGGCATCTGGCGTAAAACAGAGATCTGGAAGACAAAATCAGCGAAACTTTGTGAAAATAAGAGTAAGACTAATAAAAATCCTATCCTTATTGAAACACGGAAGAATTTTATAAAAAAAATAATAATAATTGGGCCGGTTTAAAATACTCCTTCAATTATATTCAGAATCTAAAACAATCAAACAAAATTATAATACTTACATCACTCAGATCACTTCCCCTGCAAGGAGAGAAAATATTTTAATCCTGAAACTATGACAACAAAAATATAGCGTCATTTTCTTTCGCTATGTCGATATCGTTCTACGATAGAGGTGGAAAAACAGTCGTTCACTCACCAAAAATTTAGATTTTTCACATTTTCTAGAGAGGAGGCTCTGGACCTTGACAGGATCTGCTGTTCTGATAGCCTAGACATGTTGTACTTGAACTACTGAGGTCGTTTGTTTCTCTTAATTTGACTCCGATTCTGCTGGCTTTCCGCCATTTTTTGCAAAGTCTACCAAGGAGTCCGCTGACCTCCAGCCCTTTGGTTGAAACGAAAGTCGGAGATCTGTCGGAATTTTCGGAAGTTCAGCAAGGGCTCTCGGTAGAATTCCGGAAACCACGGAGAAAAAGCGAATTCTCCCGACTGTCTCTATATTGATATGTAACCTGGCCAAGTTTTGTTTAATGCTGTTTTGGGATAAAAATCAGCCGTGTGATAGCTATTTAACTTGATGTGCCCACAACATGTAACAAAGTTCGGGAACGTTTAGCTAAGTTAGGCTCCCGGTTTAAGAAAATTTCTTAAGAAAAATATTCAACCCAGAAAACTTTGGACTAACTTTGCCCCACGAAAATGGTGAGCCTCGGCGCTGTGAATTCATAGACACCTTCAAATCTTGACTTCAAGTTATGAGCGGGCTACTGGAAACTGGAAGTTCACCATCGGAAGTGGACAGTTTGGACTTGGATGAAGTAAGTTTTTATGCAACTCAACCTTTCCGATCCATATGTATAGTTATACATTTATTTAAAACTTCACCAATCTTATTCAAAATTACCAACACTTACTTCTGCCAGTTAAAGCATAGCTATTATTAACAATCTTATTATGTTTGAAAAACTCCTTAATCACAATATTATGCAAGTGCCATCAGATATTTTTTCCATTTCATTAAGAAGGGTAATATTACTGAATTAATTAGCTTTTGACAGTTTGATTATCTGTCTGGTAAAAACAATAGTTCATTCTATATTGTGATAAGTGAATTACTGTGGTTTCTGGTTCCAAAGGCTGAAAACAATACCTCAAATTACCTCTTTCTCCTTGGGTGTCAGGTTATCAAGCCCAGAGATATCATGTAATGAGGGGGTTTCACTAAAAGCCAGTTGCGAGTAGCCTCACTTGTTTGGGTTCTGCCTTATGGCAACAGCTGCCAGCTGCTTATGGAAAAAAATAATTAAAACCCCTGTAATGAAGCCCCTGGTGATGAAGCATTTTTAAAATCAGCTCTTTCTTCATCATTTTTTTTTTTTTTTTGCAGGATTCCAGCCTGGAGTGTAGTATTGTGAATGAACTCATCGATGAGGCCATCGTTGGTGTTTGTTTAGACATTCATCGTTCCATCAAACAAGGAGTGTACAGTGTCCTGGAGCAATCTGATGAAAAAATGTGAGTGTCATCTTCTACTTTTGTCCTTACTCGTTTTGTTGTACACAGCTCACTTGTAATTTTATGACAACTACTTTGAGGAGAGTTGTCAAAGCCTGATGGTCAGTGTACTGGACTTCAGGTTGGAGGTCTGGGTTCTAGAACTTCCCAGATCAATGTGTTGTGTTCTTGGGCAAAATACTTTACCCTTCCATCAGTATCTTATTCATCAGTATCTTATTCATCAGTATCTGGTAGACTGTTTGGTTAAAATACTGTAATTTAGTTCCAAAACAGCTTTGTATCTGGAATCTATAAATGCTTTATAAGGATGTCAAGAACTAAAGAACAGTGTGTGTGTTCAATTAACACATGTCTTGAGTAGATTTATCATTACAGCTGTAAAAGAATTCTGTTAGTTCAAGTTTCTTATTCTATAACTTGCTGAACGCGTAATGATCTCATGTTTTCTTTGTTTTTCATATCGTTGCTGTGATCAGTATGAAACAGTTTGGTGAGTATTCTAACTTGGAAACTGTTTCCTTTTAAAGGTTATTGAAAATTTTTGTAGTCCTCAGTGTCAAGTTACAATGTAACAAAGTTGAATGATTTATATCTATACAGGAGTAGCCTACTAGAAAACAACTTAAAATAGCACTTTCAGGAATTAGTTTTTCGTGGTATCAATTACTGTGATACATTGACCTTGTATTATTATCTTTTACCTGGCCCCAGTTGGTCAAAGGGTAGATAAGGCTGTTCACTGGATGAATCTGTACATGGTGTAACATGTGGTACATTTTACTAAAGCTTAACCACTGGATAGCGATATATGCATTGGGTAGCTTTATTTGCCCTTTAAACAACTGCGGCCTCTTGTTCAAGGTGTGTTGCTTCTTTTCTTCTCTTGTACATGTATTGCTTTGTTTTTGTATATGGAATAATGTAACTTATTTTAAAGGCCATCTAACTTTATTATTTAATTAGAGGGTGGTATGTTAAGGAGAGATTATAAGCCAGTCACTCTCAGAGGTAAAGGCTGATAGTTTCTAAAGAAACTGTTTGGGGCTGCGTCGGGGGCTCCTT